ACTGGTTAAGGCATTGTCGAACTCCGAATAATTCTGGCATCTTTAGATTTAATACAGCATCCTTTGGATTTTCGTTCACACATGTGACTAATTATTATTCAAGCATTATATTTAACAGCAGTTTGTAGTGATAACCCTAACGTTGATTCATAGCCTCGACTCCTGATTCTAATTTCTCACACTAATTCGTAAATCTATTATAAACTATTAAGTGACTGAAGTTTCTCATTGTCGATTTGGATAAAGCTTGATTCAATTTGCTAGCCTCTGCTAATAACCCTAGGCTGAATCTACACGGCAACTTGAACACAAAAGAAAAGCCACCAAATGTAAAACAAAAGACTGTTGATAAGGATTTGCTCGATTTCCAAAATTAGTCGAAGTGATTTAAGAATACATGATATTTCATATAATTTATTTAGTTGGATTAACAATCACATTTGTCTAAACTGAACTGAGTTGTATTTAACAACAAGAATTAAATGAGTTACTGTATGAACATACATAATCCTTCTTAAGATATGGATACGTGTCACACACGATTGGGAAAAAATCAACTTCATATTTCATTCACATTCCTATTGATTGAACTATTACTCCCCATATGCAACTTGATATCGCTCAGGGTTGTCCATAAGTTGTAATCTCACCGAGCAACAGATAACACCAGGTAAACACAATTGACAATGGCTAAGCTCAATACATTTACCGAATAAAACCGTAATTCGAAATTTATAGACAAATGATAAAACATTATATAGTTCAGACTGTTTCGGATACGTAGAACTTTTTTAATTTTGTACATCCGACTAATGAACAGTACATTAATTGAGGTTTAATGAGCTTATTTATATCTCAGACGTTTTATTGTTCAGTGTGGCTGGTTGCTACGGCTCAAGACTCATATTCTATGATTATTGTTTTCAGGGTAATTATAACAAATATGGGATTACGGCAGAGCCTCTGTGCTCGACAGTATTGTAGGAGTTAGGCTAACTTGGAAGTTTCTTCGTATTCTGGCAGGAAAGAGTTATCAATATTTGACAGTTATCTGGTGATTATTTTCAATCCGCTGAACCAACCAGCTTTAATGCTGAATATCACGACAGCACAGAATATAAAACGTTAAGGAGGAAACTCAAAGTGTTTAACTGACTATTAACCATCATTATGAATGTCATTATATTTAGTGAGTTTTTGGATACATGTGTTTTGCTCAAGCTCAAAACATGCTTTTTATTATTTTGAACTTAGCGGTTCCCTGATTCACACTGATTTAGCCTTGTATATTGAAAATTTTGCTTTCGAATCACGAGAATTGTAGTTATCTTTTGAAATCTATAATAACAATTATTACAAAAATATATTCGGCTGGATCTCTCGTAATTTACTAATACACTTTTAGTACCCGGATTTAAAGTCGGTTTTCCTATTGTTTTGGCCGAGCCTGAAGGACGAACCAGAGCAGAATTCAGACGTACCACAAAGGGAATCAACAACTTCCGCAAAACCAGAAACATTATTGTTTAAAAGTTCAACTATACGACAATACAAACAAAAACTAACATTTTTGATAGATCTACTGTATGAAAGCGAGAAATGTTAACCACACAATTTAAACATGGATTCGAAGTATAATACACGTTCTTGGCAAACCATTTATAATATATTTCAGCATCAAGGATAACTTGACCTAAAAGTCTTGTCAGGAATGATTACTGGACAACTTATGAGTTTTCACATTATGCTACAATGCTTTTGACACATACAGAATAAAACAGGTATGCCCTCTACAATAAATGTGTATCTTCCTGGTAGTTACCGTAACTCTTTCGAATTCTTGACGGACTCTTATTTAGTCACCTACAGTACACTAACGAGCATTTCCAGTTCAACTCACAGCACAGTAATTTTTGTGGACGATTCAAACTTCAAACTTTGTCAGTTGGAATTAGTGAACTAATTGTTCCTCAGGAGAGGCGATTACATAGCTTCAGATTACTGATTTAAATTTATTTTCCGGACGCTAAGACCAAAGAAATTAATGAGTGTGTGGGATGCAATTTTTGTCACCGACCGCCAGTCAAAACATCTTATGCTGAACGATAATCGTTCCCAATAAACAAGTTACAGAACAGTTTACTAGTTACTGGCGGCTAAAAATAATATCGCTACCTTCGATCGCCATATTGAAACAGTTCTTATCTAACTCACCTACTGGTTAACGTGAAACTCGCAATAGATCTGTTGGTGGATAGAAATTATGCTGTAAGACTATGTTCCTCCTTAACCTCCTCACAGAGCACTGCCTATAGATTAGGAGCTCTTAGGTATAATAATTAGGAGTTGTTTTTCAGTCCGATTGCCTTTCTAGCCGCTCGTTATTTTCAAGGTTAAGGGATGAATGCAGGAGTCTTTTCGGATAACGTCTCGACTAAATAGTAGAAATATTTTTTGAAGAGCCATAACGTCAGTTTATCTAATATTCTGGAGAGAAACCCGAAGAATGGGTAAGCTCTGATATGTTTCAGAGTACCGGTGAAACGGGACACTGGTAGTTGCACAAAACAAGATGCTCAGATCATTCCACCCTGTCATAACCCTTTGTTTATGAGCATGATTACATATTTTTCCATTCAGAAAGCACTCTTCCCTGGGTTGAAGAAAACCTTAAAGGTGAAAGACATATTGGTTCAGAATTCTCGGTCTGATGCCACTTTAGTCAGCCCATCTGTGCGGATCCAAGCCTCCCAGAATTTTTTTATTTTGAGCTGCTCTAAATCCATAATGTTTAGATGGCCATGGGAATAGACGCAGCAGAAAAGTGTAGTTAGATATCTGTCAGGTTATGATCAATGGTGTTGAAATCCCATAGATACCATTTAAATGATATGGATATATAAGGTGCATGATTCTGAGGTGTTGTATGACGGGATTAATGTGCAAACTGATCGATTCTGCGGCCACATAAATTACCGTTGAGCATTTCGTGTCACTTGTATGCCAGCCCAACTGACTACAAATTGTTTGGTTCCATCCGGATCATAGAGTTTTTTGATAGATTGTGGGTGAGCGATTTGTAGTACCAAGTCTTCTTGCCTAATCCGTTTGTCTAATATAAGTGGCAGGGATCTCGCGGGCTCATTGAAAGAAAAGCTGCTAGGGTCCGAATGCTTAAACATAGGGTGATTTAGGACAGAATCAAATTGCTTACATATATTAGGCCAATTTAACAAGAAGAGATTACTTGTTTTCACCAAGAGAAAGTAATCATGCTCCTTGAAATGAAATAAAAGCATCAGCCTTGAGTTTGTAATCTTACCTGGGTTGTGTAGGGAAGCAGCACTAGTCCTGTGATGCCCTAGTATTATGGTGTATTTATTACACATGAGTGAGCGTTACTTTTGCTTAAGGTTGTATACCAACATTAAAGCCAAAAGCGAAGGTTGTGTAAGGGCTATGGTACAGTTTCTCACAGCTTTTTGGAACTTTCAATTTGTTGTAGATGTAAAGGCGACAGTGCGCTCTATTTACGAGTCATTCTGAATGTTTGAAGATTTTGTAATAGGAATATCTTCTCGATAAGACATCTTCACTTCCTTTCCTCTGAAGTCAACGTTTTTAGAACTGATAATAGTTATGGGTTAGATATTTCTAGTCTGCGCATATTCGCTTTTGTTTTGTGCTTTAAGCTCATCTGGTTGGAAGTGGATAGGACATACATTACAGAGATCATCAATCTGCATCACAAGTTATGTGCTAACTTGTGAAGTGAAACGGAAAAGAGGCAGGCCGACTAACATACTACGTAGGGAATTAGAAGCAGACATAAAAATGTTGAATAGCCACTGGAAAGAGCTGGAAAGGATTGCTCAGGACAGAGTTAGATGGAGAATACTGGTAAGCGACCTATGCTCTTCCACTAGGGATAACAGGCGTTAGTAAATTTAAGTTCATATGTGTGAATACCGTTGCTATATGTGTCATACATCAGTTTTGCCTTTAATTTATAGTTTGACAGGTTATGCACGGCGACTTTGTGTTTGTTTGGTAACTGTGGTGTGAAGAGATAACCATGTTGATCAGTTAGATTTTAGTGCCTGGAGCCGAAATTGATACCTGTCTTCACTCCTCATCAAAAACTATTTATAATAACATCATGTAATATTAAAAGGGGTTATCGGAATGGACGGAGCAGTAAGTCTATCTTAAATGCGAACTAAACCTCACTGTACGGAAATCGCAGAGAACAGCTCTATGACACACTATTCAGTCGCTTTTTGCAACCGTCGTTTACTTATCCATATAAGACATCAAAACAGAGAACCAATATGATGTAATTACCCAATATCCTTTTGTAAAGTTCGTGTTATTTATAACGAGCTAACATTCTTTGTAAGGGGAGATCACTCTCTCACCGAATATGTTAAAGATATTCCGTGAATTAATGAGCGTTTCTGATAACCGTTAGAATGATAACGGCATTAATGAACTGATGTATTTGTACTAGGCGTTTAGTCTATCCATTATCTGTCGTAAGTTGGGGATGAAGCGATGTAATACTTTTTTTATTGGTCAGTGAATTTACAGTAAATGTTTTCTTCTGAACATTCGAACTTATTACTTAAAGTTTTTTGGAATTTCCATCTAGGGTATATCAGCTGATCAAACAGCTGCTTTAATTAGTGTTAAAAAAGTTGGAAACATTTAACTACATCTAATGACTCACAATGACGGACAATAAACGGTCATTAAGTACTGTCTTAGCTGATTTACTTTGGTCAATCACAAAATCTTTCAGAACTTCTATCTGAAATATCTTTCATGCAAAAACATTTGCATCAGTGAACCTATTATTAATCGACTTACCACTTCCGTGTTCAGAAGTAATGTAGAAAGCATATTAGAATGGAACTGTACCCGGACTATCAGATGAATATTTGACACCTCATATGACCACGCCACATGCGAGATACTTAAGCGCATTGTTTAAAACCACCACTGAGTTCTATATCGCCGGAGGGGGAAATACAACCTCTTTCTCCAGTTGGCGTATTTGCGTCCCAGGAATGCCGGTCGGGGATTCACAAACTCGTCTTGTGTTAGTCCAATTTTGTTTACTTATCAATTTCATAACTCTAAATCAATTGTAGCTCGGGGTCACCTGGTTGATAGCAGTGATAATAGGTAACGCACGATTAACAATTGTGTCGCCAGTAGTGTAGAGTAAATGTAAAGTGACTGGCGTTTTTACATTCCTTTAAAGTGGTTTAGTTCTATTTAAAGAATTTTAGGTGTACTTGTTTATGTATTCAAGATAATTCGTGGTATATTTAGTCGTATGCCATACCTCCGTCATTGTACAGGATACATCTCCACTCTCCCTGTTTTGAGAAAAAATTGTCCGTTTTGGGTAAAGTTTGCGGGTGCCGCAATAGAAAACTTTAATGTAACGGCAATAAGACTCCAAAGTTTCCCCAGGTATAAGTAAAACCCCCAGTGTTCCCCCCTGAAGTTTATAACACGGTTTTTCCTGAACTTAAGAAAAGTACCAAATTACTCTAACTTTTGGGAGATCCCCAAAATAGGGAGATTCAGTCAATGTATTGGTATGGGTACATTATGAAATGCAATGAGGCAAAGAGGTTAGATGCTCAAATAACCTTTTTAAAGAAAATGAGACTGAGCGCTATTTTGGGTTTAATTAATCAAGACAGGAGTAATACAGTTTGCTCTGAAAAGTCTGATATTTGTTTTTTTTTTCTTCAGTATGCAGCTTGTTCTCTTGTCTTAGAAAACAGTAGCAAAGTTTATTTAACACGCACTGGTTCAAGTTGTTTTTTAATAACCAGGATCTATTTTTGATAAGTAATTTTCCGTTCTCATTAACTTTACATTATTTGACTTAGAGTGTTGGAGTAATGTCTGCACATTGGAATTTTAGGTTATTCCACAGAAATTAGTAAAGTAACTACTCGGTGGAATTCCGTAAACATCAAATATGAACACTCATGTAATATCACTTCTATACTGTAAGGACACAAAATGAGTGAATATATTACATTCCCAAAGTTAAGTCCAATCAGATCGGGTATTTATGGGTTATTAACATTTGGTCGTTAATGACTTCGAAACCTTGCTCACTTATGTTGGTACTGCCATGTGAGCAAGGCTGATGTTAGGTTCAAGGTACTAGGTAAAGATGGCAAATCGGTTGGTGAAATTGTGAATCTTGTCCAACTAAGGTGGCCGATATATGCAGTGCATATTCTCAACCATCTTCCTTAATGCTTGATTTGTTGGTGTAGGAGTAGATTAAAGGAATGCCAAAGCTCGCTTAAAAAACGTGGCGTCATTGCATAAAGTCACTGACTGTTGGGTCAACATTCGTAAGTCTGCACAATTATCGTGACTAATGGTTAGAGATATGTTATATGTCTAGGAATTGGTTGAAAGTACCCTAATGTATTCACTTGTCTAATGTCGAATTTCAGGTTTTTAAATCATTTAGCGAATTAATTCTTCCTTGGATCATATTGGTTTTCTTCACATGTACTACTCTAGAATTTTCCTAGATTCATCTCTTTGTGTTGGTATATTATGGCAACTTCGGTCGATGCACGTTTATGCTAGATACGACGTCTTCTATGACTGACCTATAATAGTAAATTTCAAGCTTACTATGTGTAAAGTCATTTCATAGTTATGACAACCTGGGTCAGTAAATAGATGTAAGGACAGTAATCCAATGAAGTCAGCGATAATCAAACATCATCATAAAGATGTCAAGTCAATTGCATAAAAAAAACTATCCATTCAAAGGAACTGTACACATCGCCTTTTGTACCCAAGGTGACATTGCTAATATTCTAAAGACGATCTAGATATACATAGTTCGCCATGTTTTTGTTGTACAAAAGTTGATCTCATCTACATTCTCATTGATAAGCTATCTAGATACATGAATCTTCCCGTTTCTTCCAGTGGTTCATCTTCAGTAATGCGATAAAGTACATCCCTTTTTTAACCTTGCTAAGTTACTTCTCAATATTGTACGTTTATACCGTACTTGGTGAATGAGTTACATTCAAGCAGTAATATGCAATGGGACAATCCAGTTGATAGCAAGAATATCCGGGCAATCTACAGAAGCTCGGTATTCATTAGGAAAATGCTTTAGAGAAACAACTATGTGTGGTTGCTATTTCCAAATAATCTTGAATACACTTTCCAATGAGTTGACATTTAGCTTCGAACCTAGTTGAAATCGATACTGTGCAACAGTATTTGATACAATCAATTTATTCCTACCTTATCCGATACGGTAAATGTTTTGCTTATCAAAACGTAGAGGTTCAGACAGGTACACAAAAAAAAGAGTGACAGCTTTGTACGGACTTGCGTCATCAGTAGCTAGTTACCGTATTAAAGTCTAGACTTACTTTTTAAATGCAAAACACTACATAACAAACCAACGATAACTGTATCAAAAAGTGGCGTAGATCAAAGATCTGTATACAATATCGTCTCTTTCATACAACTTAAGGAATACAGTGAGTCCATTGTATAGTTGAACCTGGTACATTTATACATTGGTTCAAGTTACCAGGGCTCATTATCACAGAGGTGAAATCTTTAGGGCAAATACCAGAATAGTAGAAACAGTAACAATATTATTGGTATTACGAAATATTAGGCATCTAAAATACTTAAGTAAATGTAAATTTATTTATTTGAACACATAAATATTGGTACAATGGGGCACCGAATACATATGTGCCACACAAGTCACTTGGTTTGTATGTGATGCTGTCCGGGTGCCCAGACAGAAGCAGGTGGTTTTCTTAGGGGACCGAACCCGAAGCCTTAGACCTAAAAGTCTGATCCACAAGGTAGTGGAACAACGTCAGGAGATTCAGTCCCATGGTAACCGATGACCAACGATTGGTTCATACGCCATTTGTTTCTCCCAGGATCCTAAAGTCCATGTGCACCATCGGTTTGGAATGAGGGCTCTTCAACTCTCTTTGTCCACCGATCCGGTTAAAGCACAGGATATTCTCTTTCCGCCCTCCATTTCGTAAACAACAGCCGTGGTGCAAGAAGACAATGAGTAGGACTTCCCTGACGGTGGCTGTATACGGGTGGCCATGAAAGAGCATTTAGAGAGAGAGAGCTAACTCTCCTCACCCTCAGCTGTACTAGGGCATCTGGGGGAAAATTGTATAGTATTCAGAAGCTTCGAATTTGGGGAAAGACAAAAATGAATGCACATATACCATTCCAAACGACTTTAAACCATCGCATTCAAAACTTAACCACTGGTTATGATAATCACGCAAACCCTAACTAAGTAGTCCACACCTATCAACATGGCTCAGTCCAATTGTTACTGACTTCATAAACTGTAGCCATGTTTTTGTTTGACTACCCTGATCTTTCTTCCGACCTACTCCTACACCAGGCAAAATGGCGCGTCGAGGTATACGGTGGATGAACATACGTAACAGTTGTCCCAATCACCTCATTTAATGAAAATTTACTACCTCATCAATCGATTCGTCATCCGTGCCTAGTACCCTTTCCTAACTCGCATTGCTTAATCCCATAGTACATGAGAAGTGCTTCAAAGATACGGTTAATGGAATTATACCCCTATTATCAGTAGGTTTCACAGTTTTAGACCTGGTTTTACAAAGGCGACTGCGAAATGTGGTCTATAATTGTTAATGAATACGTATGTGTTTCTGGTACTCAGTCATAGGTGTCTTAGAAGAATTGCACACTTAACGGGGACTACCAAGTAGGTAACACAGAGGTTAGACGTATGATACTGCTAAAAGGTGATAAATCAGTCGGCGAGATCACAAATTTCCATCGTCTAAGATGTCTGGGACATGCGCTACTTGTTCCAAGCCATCAAACACCTGGATGTTCAATAATAACTTAATGGTTGAGGCACATTTTTACCAACCACCAAACTATAATTCCCTACCTCGCTCTGTTTGTTTTGGTCTCGTTAACCGAGTAGTACTGTAGTGTAGTTTGAAGGCCAATGTATGAGCCTATGTTTGGCATATAAGCTACAATAATTACGTACAGTGGTAGTTAGCATAAGTGTCAATTAGAAAAATGTTAATGACTCCATCGTTCTATAAGGTCACTGATTACTGGATTAAGCCTTGCCCCTGTAGATCTAGACTGCCTGTTTGCTGTGCATCAGGTAATCATAGTCTGACTGGAAATCTTGGATGGGATGGTTGAAAATCGGTTTAAATATTTCCCCATACTTCTCATTTCCCGATACTAACCCTGTGAATTTTGTCTCCATAATAATTTCACATGTTGACAACTTGAGTCGATATACATTTCCTTCTTAGCAGTATGTTGCTCTGATAATGGAATTATAGTGTTCATCTTCCGTCATTTGTATGAGTTATTGACATCGTCTGACTCACTGACCAATTCATATGGTCATAAACTAGTTATATATATCAAGTATTCAAGCTAGGGTAAAGTTTATTACTACGTATATTGCCTTAAATGTATATTCTTTTAAATGATTTGTGGCTAATTTTTATTTAGTGTTAAGCATGAAGTAGTAATAATACTCTTTCATCCACTTTATTGGTTTGTATTAAAACAATATGACTTCATAACCAAATACAAATTCATGTATTTAGCGTTAATTTTTCTGTAAAAAAATAAACATGTATAGTTGCAATTTCAAGGTAGAATATTATTGAAGTTAGGGGGTGAAAAAGCGGATGCTTACCAGTATGCTATCTACTCTTGTTTAAAAATATTTTGTTTTTTGTCTATGTTATTATTGCTACTACTTAATAATCCCTTTGTTGACTGGTGTTTTAGAAAAAAACTAATAGACAACTATAATTCAATAAAAATAAATAGAATTCAGCGAAGGAAATTTTGGACGAAATCATTTGCTTAAGCTGTACATTCGTATTAATAGTTGTTCGGTAGATATATGTAAACCTCCATTTTGATAATAATAATCATATGCTCACTGGTGACTGGATTAAGAGGTATTCCCTAGAGTTCTAGTGAGAAGCTGTGACCAATGGAGTTCAACGGTGTCTGTTGTGAGTCAATAACTCACTGAAGACGATGATGGACGGTGGCGCAATTTCGTGAATTGGTTGAAGCTAAACATTAACATCGTTCGATGCCGGCTCAGTGGTCTAGAGGTTAAGCGTTCGCGCGCAGAACCGAGTGTCCTGGGTTCGAGTCCCACGTGCGGGACCGTGTATGTGCACTGCTAAGGAGTTCCATACTGGGACGACACGACTGTCAAGTGCTTCCGAATTTTCGTTGGTGGTCTAGTTCAGATGGACCCATGAATTTGATTATTAAAATATATAAATCTATAGAAGGATAGAAAGGATTACATCATAAAGTGATCTCAAAGATCAAAAGAAGGTTGTGTAACAAATAATCAAACGGTTAAAGGAGACTGGGGGAGTGAGAGTAAATTACGGATGAGAAATGGGATAGATAATAAATGATTTAATCAAAAAGAAAATTTCCCTCTCTGAGTTCTCTTTATTGTTATTCAGTGACACAATGAGTTACTTGAATTATTATTATTATTATTAAATATAAACATGAACGTTAATTGTACTCATCTAAAATGATAGCCCTCTTCGTTAATGTACGTTGCAAACTAATTGATAATCATTTGTGTATATTATATGCTTCGCACCTTATGTATTACTCTCAAACCAATAACTTGACATCCAGTAGCTCGTATTCACAACTTCAGTCAATATACGATATCATTTTATTTTCTCCTCTTGTCAGATAGTTAAGATTCTAATAATTGTAAAGAGATTAATTATTATCAGAAGGGGTTTTGTGGAGATTTTAGTAATTTCAATAGTTGAAATCATGAGTCAATTGAAGCTAGACCACCATGGAAAATCTGAAAGCACTGAACGGCCGTTTCGTCCTAGTATGAGACTCCTCAGTAGTGCGCATCCATTAATTATGTTACAAATAAACGATAATTTTGAGTTGCATTTTTTGCATGTCTCTCTATAGTTTACGATCTACGAATTACATAATACATTATATAATGAAAATTTGTCTTAATGCTTCAAATCCATTTTTACAACAACAAAAAAAACCTTCAATGTAACAACCTTGATGTAACTATAATTTTATACTAAACTATAAGATTTTATCTTCTAACCCTTCTGTCTCTCTTTTATTTGTCTGTACTCATTAAATTTTGCTTCCGTTCTTATCCACATTACATTACATGGATGTATTTTTGTCTGACCTTATCTGTCTGGTTATCAGCTCTAATGACCTCGTTATCAAGCTCATGTATATGAGTGTGCATATATGTATATGTATACATATTGTCTGACGTCATTGTATAAAAATAGTCGATTGTTACTAGATAAACAAAAACACCTGTTCTTATAAAAGTCCACTTATTGACCCTCCTTCGAAATTGTTAGTCGAATAAATTCATTAAAAAAAAAAAGAAATGGACAATTAGTGAACAAAGATAAATGACCTCTGATTACTTTATTTATCTATGGTCTATGTGTACTTATTGTCTGTTTCATGGTTTTTCAATTATGTTTATTTATATGTATGTATAAAAATAGTATTGAGTTGAGCAGTTCTACCAGTTGTATTAATTATAATTTCTTATATAATCATTGTAAGTGTTTGATGAATGCAATTACTTAAATGTATCCAGATCTTTAATCAAGTAAAAAAAAGATCTTCATTTTCTTCCGTTCATATTGATGAGTAGATATATATAAATTACGATTAAATTGTCACATTCCCTGTCTATACTCCCTATAATTTTGTGAAAATTATAGCTTAATACAGGAAAATACTCAGTTTCATACTTGGCAACATTTACTTCACTTTTGGTTACCAAGTAGTATGATTGTCCTTTAAACAAACATTATAAATCCAAGTTGAGAAATTAAGTTTCAACTTAGTAAATAACATAACAAACTTGTTTTATTATAGAACAGTGAAATTTCTTGAGTTAGTGTATAATTGTCTTTTTATAATATAAATAGTGAATTGTTCACTTGATTTTAGGTTTTAAAATCTGATCTTTCATTCTAACAATAAACATTGCGGGTTATCATTTGAATAAGAAGAATTTATTTGTTACTCTGTAGTGTAACAATTTTACTGTTTGAATCGTAATTTTATTGTACAACTTAATAAATATTTGTATAATTAGTAACATCCAACATAATTACACAATACATAGGTATATCATTGCCATTTGTCGTCGTATTATCTTATCAAAAAATATATATAGGTTATTTCATTGAATGTCACTCAATATAAAGACTTATATTTCATCCACAAAGATGTAGCTTGAATTTAAAAACAAATTTTGCGTTTCAGCATTTCAAAAACGCCCTCTTCCCCGTATTCTTGCAAATTTACTTATCCACTTAATATGTTAGGAAAAGACCTAGTTATTTTGTGTGTTTTTCCTTTTTTTTCAGGGATAATCTTGGCCTAGATTTGAATCCATATAATATTGTCCAAGGTAAATCATTCACCCGGTCTGTATCAATTAGTGAACCGACTTCAACTCCACCAGATTGTTGTATTACATCGCATAATAATAGTGCTATTATTGGTGATTGCCTACCGTCTATACGATCAGCCAGTGGTGAAGGCGGCAGTACAACATCAGATATTTCCTTCTCTCCATTCTCTTCTGCGGCTACAGCTATTACGCCTGAAAGTCCCTTACCACCAGATTCAAATTGTTTCCAGTCAAATCCATTAACGTCAATAATTGGCTATTCTGACGTTGGTGGTGTTGATTTTCCTGTTCAACATTCGACCACTACTACTAGTACTCCTGCGACTATGAATATGTCTACCGATAATACTAATAATGATGATGTTGATGTTCCAATAAACCAGACTACTGAAAATTCACCTAAACCAAATCATACAAATATTTTTAATCAATCAACTGATCATAATCAACAAAATACCTCCTCCTCAACCTCTTCTCCTTCTCTCTCTTCCTCTTTACGACAATTTAATGATAATAATAATCATGATAGTATCTACAATTATAATGTATTATTTCAAAATCCAATTACCTTGAGAACAATAAATTTCCTTTCACATTTACTTGATTCACGTCTATCCCCAAACTGGCGTACACTTTTAGAATATTGGCAGAAAAATACTGTGAAGTTGGATTTATCTTCAAGTATTTCCCAGTCATATTCTTCTACAACTCCCAATATCCCTACTACTGCTACTACTACTCTTACACCAACAATTAGTTGTACAAATAATACAGATTTTACTCGGTCATCATCATCTGATCAGGAAGTATGCGCAGTGAAACGTTTCAAACCGAATAATTCATCTCAGGTAAATTTTTGTCTGTATGTTAACAGAATATTTGAATACATTTTTCTTCCTATCTGTATTTGTTAATCCCACTGCACATATCTAATTTCAAACAACCAGTCACATTTTCTTGCAATTCTAACTGAATATGTTTTTGGAAACACTAATGTTATATAATTAAAGGCAATTGGCAATATTCTTAGTGTTTAAGTTTCGTGCTAGTTTGGCAGTGTTCACTAAGTTATGTCTGTAATTTTAAGAGAACGTTTGCTTACACCTCTAGAAATTGTAATTCATATCATCCATCATCACAGTCAGGAATGTTACCGCTAAATTATTTGGACCGTACTAATTGGTGTTGTATACGCAACTCATTTTCACAGGTTTTTCATGAACTTAAACTCTCCCAATAGCATATTTGGTTTGTAGGGTTATCTAAGCATTATACAATAGTTTTTTTAGGAAATCACGTCAACTAATGTGTATCATGTGCCCTCATCGAGTTGATTATGTCTTCCCTTTTTTAAGAAAATTGGTCTCGTCATTAGCTACCACGTAGCTAGAAGGCTACTAATAACCATTGTGAGTTGTATGGCAGTTTTGCTCTTTTTTTACTATGATTTTAAATTTTACCCCAACTTAGTTCTTTCTTAACCTCATATCCAGTGGTCTGCATACTTACACTGTCATTATGTACATATAGGCTAAGTTTAATTTAGTAATTATGTAATTTATATGACATAACTAATCAAACTCCTCTCTCTAGTTAGTGGTTATCGTTAGAAGTTCACCATTATTCCAAGGCTCAGTTTGCATCCAGTTGACACGTTATTCTCCCCCCCCCTTTAGTCATTTAATTACAACTACCCACACATTTCCAAAAAACTAAACTGTAAAAATCCATATATTCACGTGACCGATTGTTCTTAAAACACATTGATAATATAACGGGAGTAATATACAGTGGTATGTTTCCATATTATTGATACATAAACACGCATAACCCTTATATACTGATCCTCTATCATCATCACTATCAAATATCTTGACATGACTATAATATAACTCCAATGCTAGTTTCATTAGTTAACAGCATGATAAGTTAAAACATGTAGGGTTAGGTTTTGAAATGAAATAAATTATCAGTAATACGATTTAATATTGACTCACAAATTAGGACACTGCTCCACTTATTCTTAAGTTGAATTACTTGACTAACAATTGTAACAGTATCATACATATTATGCATTGTATATATATTGATACTCTTATGTGTAAAACAATTGTATGAACGAAGAATATTCTTTTCAATAATTTCTCATCAGGTTCTACAATTATAAATCCAAATTAATAATCCATAGAATTGGCCCGATTTAAGGCAGAATAGTCGTTTCTAGGATCTAGGATATTCTCTGTCAGAAATCTCAGGCGTCAATAGTCACCATGAAATCGTTTCTAATTTATAAAAGCGCATGATTTTTACTATCTTCCTAAATAAGAATTTTATCCCCTTCTGTCAAATGTTGTTTGTTTCAGCCTCAAAATGAAATTCAACTTACAAGTAATGAACCGTCTGCTACTATCGATACCACCACACTACCATCCACTTCTCTTGTATATCATCATCAATCTCGTCAGTCAGTTCCGTCAACATTTATATCTGCACGATTAATCCTATGCGCTAGAAATCTCGCTGATCATTTTGAGTCTAGATATCGTGATAAATTGGGCAGTTTATTAGAAGATGTAGCACGTTTAAATAATAATTCCAATAGTGATAATATTAATTATAACATAGATGATCAAAGTTGTACAGAAGAGACAAACAAAACGACAATGATTAGTGTTAATGATAATGTCACTAATGTTCATGATACTAACATAAGTGTGAAGAGTGATAGTAGGATTGGTGATGGTGACGCCAGTGGTGCTTCTAGCCATGTGAGCGATGATTCACTTCAAACTCGATTAGAAATAGCACGGTGTCAATTTCATAGTGTTCTAGAAGAATTATTTCTTGAGCGTATTAACTGGGGTCGTATAATTGCAATGTTGGCATTTTTGCGAACATTATGTGAAGTTGTTGAAGAGAACAATAAACATATGAATTATTCAGTTTCACATCAGTCAGTGCAACAGTATCATGGTGTTTCTAAGTCAACTGATTTGCCCATTATTTCTTGTGAACAAGTTGAGCATAATGATGCTGTTACATCTGATTGTAATAAAGAAGTAAGTTTTGATTTTGATTTATTTCACGAAATTTTGTCGTCACTTTTATTCATTGAATGGTCGTCTTACTTCGACTCCAAGTCCTACATCACTATGTTGATAGTAATGAGGTATAGATTCGTTTGCTCTACCAGAACTACTTCTACAATTCTACTGGTAAAACTAGGTCTTAATTGTTAATGCGTTCGACCTTTAAACACTCGGTCAACAGTTTGAGCCTTACTCTACCTAGTTCAGTTTGGGAAACCGGAGGAGTAGTATTGATAACCTTTGCAATACACACACAAATTGTGGCTCAGTAGTTTGTCATCATATCTAAGATATTGATGTATGATAATAATAGGTTGGGAGACTGAAACACCAACTTTGGGGAAAGGCTAAAATTTATATTTGTACGAGAACATTATAAAAAAACATTATTGATACAGTTGGTCAATAAGAAGTATCAGATGATTGGTGTACGTGATTGGCCAGAAAACAGTTTTCATTTGCAAAGGACAAAACATAAACAACTGACAAAGTCAATTTTCTAAGGGACGGGCACACATAAATGAGTGCACACACAATGAGTTCGATTAGTCAATAAACTTCCCTTCTCACTCCTATTGTCTCAAGTATCTAGGCTCACCTATAGAGATTGTGTCTCAATATCAATTCTCAGACACCTCAGGCCACAGCAACATTTATCAACAAATTTTTCGGATATGGACATCTTTTGTAGCCCATCTGTCTCTAGCATTTTCGGTCTTTCCTATTGGCATATTTTTGGTTTGATCTGGAAGTTAACTGTTTAATGTTACTGACAATTTGTTAATCTACTGTTACTTTGACTTCATCTGTTTTAACTGAACAATTCCTGTTTGTTCATCTTATGTATTTTAGATTACTTGTCGGTGTTATGCTCTATATAGTTATGTTACCTTAATCAGCTATAATATCAAGTCTATTTATCTAGACTAGTCGTTACGCACATTGATTTTCGTGTTTTCTTCTAATTACGTGCATATTTTTTCATTCATATGTTGTACTCGATCTGTAGTTCTCCCTCAATAATTAACCTTCAAACTCTTCTCGTTCAGAATAAAATCGGTTCAATTAATACACTAACCGAATTACTAAAGTTCCCAGTGAATTAGGACGACTGTCAACTTTCTTTACTGATGAAAATATTGAACATGTGTAGTTAATTGTGCACCCAATCACTGATTCACAGTCCGACTGACTAGAGGTCAACTGAAATTGGGGAAATCTATTGTGCCAACAAATTCCTTTGACAAAATATTTACGTTTTAAAAAATGTATGTATTGAACACTGGGAACGGTGACGTTAAGACAAATGTTTTTAAAGCATTTTTAAGGGGAATGGGGCAGATGATGAAGCAAAATTGATGTATCTTAAATTTTTCTAAGTATTTTTATTTGACGGAACAGTAGTAGGAGTAATGCATTTTTATAATAACAATAAATTACCGTCGTATATTCACATTAACTTTCATTCGTTAGGCTATGAAAATAGTCAGACTTATCCATATATGTTTAATTTCATTAATCCACGTCTATATTAAATCTTAAACGTATAAAAAAGATTAGCACTTATATATTCATCAATTCCCCGGTTTGGGAGTCGGCTTTTAAGCTCTCGAATTCCCTGGTACTACTGAAGATGGATAGAGACCAATTTCTCTCTCGAATTGCTCTCAAATGGCCGTTCATATATAGCCACTCCCAGGGAAGTCCTACTCACTGCCTTCTCGTGGCGGGAGAGTTGCTTACGAAATTAAGAGGAGAAAAACCGAATATCCGTCGCTTGAACCGGGTTGGTGGATACAGATCATTTAACTAAGGGTGGGTGAAAAACTGTGATCGCGTACCAATGGTTCACATGGGCTTCAGGATACTGAGGGAACAAATGGCTTATTAACCCAGTCTTAGTCACTGTTATGAAACAGCATCTCTTAATGTTGCTCCACTGCCTTGTGGCTTATGCTTCTGAGTTAGAGGCTCGGGGAATGGTCCCCTAGGAAAATCACGTGTCTCTAATCTGGGCACTCAAGCAGAGTACCCCTTCCCTCACACAGATTTTGTGTGAGGCATATATTTTCCGATACTTCTTTTTGCCATTGTAGATGTGTTTAAATAAATATTCATCTGTTTAGGCACTTTATAATCAACACAAGTTGTGTGTACACATTATCACAGTCTGTTCTAAAATCATTTTTTGTTCTTGTTTTTCTATAGTTATCTTCTACTGGTCCATCTTCTTCATGCAGTGATAAAACTACAGACAAAAAATTGAAAGATAAAAATTCGGAAACTATAATGGATCCTGATCGGTCAAATGTTAGTGACTTAAATTTAGTGTCATTCGCAAGACCTTGCGCAGCTGATTATACTTTGTGGACAACTGAGTTTATACATGGTCCCCGAGGACTTTGGAATTGGATATCATCTCATGGAAATTGGGTAAGCAAATTGTTCTCTTTTCTTTTAATGTTGTTGTCTCTCTATTCTCTATTGAATCAGGATCTATTAGTTCAGTGTATTTGTAACTTCAGTTAGTTTATTATCTAAAGTGATACAGTCCTCTTAGACTGTTCATAATTTACGGTCTCATTCTTAGTGGAATTTATAACCTATTAGTGGGGAAAGAATTCAAGTACCAACTAATTAGATGAGATGAAAATATGAACGTCTCTCCTTGGTCTACACAGTCAATTTTCTCACTATCTCTAATATGTCTGCCAAAATTCAATTACAGATTTCTTTGGAATTCCGTTACTTTCACCCACACTCTCTCTCCAATCTATCTATTCACCGCCAAAATTCCCTTCCACTTTTCTACAAAAATTCACAAGCAATTAATTGGAACAAGAGAAAAAATAAATCTGAAAGGGAGGGGAGGTTACACAAAATATGAAATTTTGTTGTTTTTACTTGAAAATTGTTCATAATTCTTTGTCAGCGTTGTTATCGTTGTTAAATCGAGTTGTCCTTCTTTTTTTGTTTACCTATTTTTATCGAATTGACACATGATTCCAGTATGTTCTTTGTATATGTATAGATGTGATGTGTGTGTGTGTGTACTAGTGTATCTACATCCTCAAAAACACAAAATTCATTACGTCATATATGGTGTGAGAGATCATTGTGTTTCATGTCTTGTCCATAAAATTAGGTAATATGACTAAACAGTTGAAATATATATTTATATGTGTGTATATATGTAAGTATGTACACGTGTAAGTATAATTCATGAGGCTTTCCAATTTCATTATTTGTGCCTGATACCATTACCGAAAGATGGTATAATGTAAGTTAATTGGGTAGCTAAACGAAAACAATCAACGAGTAAACAAAACAAAACTGAATAACAGAGAGTGTGACAAAGGTGTTATACGTTTATAAGTAACAAAAAGTTGTCACGTGTTTAGATATGCTGTGATAAATAAAAACAAAGTAACCGTTATTTGTTGGCTTGATTTCTCTTTAATCATTATCAAGTCAATGAACTGAAAATAGGAGAATACGAAACATCATGCTACTGTTGAAGACTCTAACCCAGTTACTGTCCTCTTCATTCTATTCAACACTGGTTAATAATATGTACTTGAATATCAATGGAATGCATGACTCACATTTCGTTCGATTTGAAATTTGACTTCAGCTAGATGTACCTTTCACATCAAACGCTCAATGGCATTATCCACTGAGTTCAGTTAGCCACTAACTTGTTCAAAGTGTGTAATGCTTATATATTAGAAAAGGTCTGGATCATATAGCTACTGATATTCAGGACTGAATTATGTCAACAGATTGGATACTAGAAACCCTCATTAATACTGGTTAATGGTATTCATGTTCTTTCTCGATCCCCATGAGTATTAAGAACAAGAAGATTGATCTTTCTATAAGATCATTCTTTACTGTCCCTACAAAAGTCACTATTATTATACAACTTGTCTGTATGCATAGTTTTTATTGTAAATGTTTCCCAACTAATATCAGTATATAACACATACAACCCATAAATTAAACTAAAGAGCGTAAAATCCCTTTGACTAATGGATAGAATTTGTATCACATTATGTCTACATCTTCTTTTTTTTCCTCTTACAATTTACAGGAGGGACTTATAAATTTTGAATCACAACGTGATGAAACTGACCAATCAGCAATAACCTCGACAACAATTGGAAATAATAGTTTAATTAGTTTAGTCACTGGTAGTTTCACCGATGATGATACGTTACGTTCACTTCGAAATGCTTTGACTAGTGTAGCAACAATAGCTGTTGGAGCTGTCGGCCTAGTCGCTGCTTATCGTTTTTTCAGTAGACGTTTATAAGTGATATGAGGAAGAAAAAGATAATTATGATGATGATGACGTCAGCAATATCATTAATCATGGGTTAGTAATTATCAACAGTTATTCATCATTATTTAATTCTCCATGTTTGCATTCATTACCTACCTATTACACTTCAGAATTACATATGAACATAATATACACTAGTTATATCTGCTTACATCTTCATTCCGGTGACATTTTTATGTATTCATACTTGAATATTTCCTCTTACACATACAAAAAGAAACTATTCATTTGAATTTTTCTTTCCATATAAAGAAAGGAATCTTCCGTTTGTTCTTCTCCCACTTTCAATACATCCTTCATGTATTCAACTATCGTCAATATAAAATTGTCGGGTAAATAGAATTATAGTGTATATGTATCAGTTTATTATTATTATTATGATTATTATTATTATTACATAAAATTAATATCTATGAGTATGATGTTTAAGTTATAATCTATGCTAACCATTCATGAGAGAGAGAAACTCAAGGGTTAATTGTATGTAAAAACACTTATGCTCTTATCGTATACATTTCTATAGGTAAATATTTGGTCATTGGTCCGATTATTAAGAATAAACAGATTTTATCAATCAATCGATAAGTTTTGATCACCCAAACTGAATAATGTGTATCATCATAGTGACTTGTGATTCATATTGAATGTTTACAGAAAGAAATGATTGCTTCATGATTTGTGATAACTCATGTAACTAATCACTTGGACGCTCAACTTCTTGATTTTCAGTAATCGTTGATTCATAAATTTTTAACAAAAACAAACAGAAAGGAAATACAGTATAAGCTTTACTTCTAGGTTTGGTACATGTATAAATAATCAAGAGTATTTATAGTGTATCTCAATGCTTCTGGGAAACATTTTCGATTCATTGGAGAAGTCTCTTGAAAGCTTCTCAAAAAAAACTGATTAATCAAATTATTTTCAACATGTTTCCGGCTTTTGAAAACTTCCCTGATAAATTATCAAGGGCCGTCCAGTGTTTTCCAGGTTTTCAAAGGTGGTAAAGCTTAGATCGATTCAAGACCTCAATGAAAAATAGTCTCTGCAACCCCATACTGAAAAAATAAAAATTCAGAGTAATATTGAAAGTATTGAATGTGCCTATTGTTTGAAATATGTGTCTATGGGGCCATTTATTTTGTCGTCATTTAGATCGGACGATGTTGTCGAAAGGCTCCTTTGTAGTGGCCCATGATCTGACTCCAAATAGATCGTATGAATGATCGTTGTGGAAATATATATACGCCTTATCCTTGTATATAGTCATTGACTTAAATCGCGTTAGTTAATGACGGAATTAAATAAGTCAAATAACGAGAATGGACTTTTGAATACATATATTTTGTATATGAAGTGAATAGAACAGAGAGGAGGGAAGCGACGCGCAGTGAAAATGGCTGGTAAGCCAACTCCCATTTAACCAAGCGTTAATCAATATTTATAAGCACACAAAAATAATTTACACATATGTGATGAGTAATCGGATAAGAAATGAACACATGTCTACGCGCTCATATAAAAACAGTCAAGATCGATAAGTGGATAATTAGCAAGGTTAGAATGTAACTCAAGTAGAATGGGCCGGCTGAAAGTAGAAAATAGCACATATGAAAAAAAAAAGTCTGTTTTCGAAAATAACACTGAAGTCGTGTTTGGTTAACGTTAACAATATGTAGTGAAGAAAATAGTACCACAAACGATGAAGTAGAGTGTCACATGAAAGGTGAGTGTATTGTACGAAAGTATCATACTTATGTAAAAGAATACATGAATATCGTAAAGGCGCGGAAAAAATTGAAAACGTTAGCATGGGAATATGAGCAAATTAATAAGCGTACAAAAATTTAACATGCACTAATGTTGTGACTGTGTGAACGATAAAATAGCAAGTTCGTATGAGCGATTTAAAATATCTTGAAAACAGTAATAAATCGTGAAAATAAATAGATTAGAATATGACAGAAATTGGTCTGTGATACTGACAGAATAATGAAATATGAAAATGTTCTGATGAACCGCAGTAGCGATGAGTGGATTTGAATTGAAATACGTAGAGTTCCCATTCGTAGGATAATAATAGTCAAGTCGTGAAATGATAACTGCATCGACGGGTGATATTCGTTGCTGTACTGCAATTGATAATAATCATAAAATGTGAAGTCAGTGTACGTTGTCGTTTGCGTTATGACAGATGCATCGAGTTATCGTTAAATATGTATTAGTAGAATGACCAGAGGAACAGAATAGTGACTGAGTAGACGAGGTACGTAGAGTCGTATTCCTTTTTGGTCGTGAAGCCTCGATTGGTTTGTGTGGTTTGAGGGAGATGCGCTCAACCTCGTTTGTTACAACACCGTAGTTAAGGCATAATATAAATACCAATACATATGATTAGCGATGGCGGCGTACGAAACTGACTTGGATGAGACGAACAAGAGTGTATCTTTGAGAGACCAGCTCTAAACTCTATGTTCTGGTATACAGTACGGAGTAACCGTGAAATCATTGAAAAGAGTTAATAATAATTTTATATATTACACCATACACTAAAACTTTTGTTCACTTTACAGCACAAATTTCATGATGATGATGACAACAATAATGACTATATTGGCTTACTACTATTAAGTCATACACTTTTTCATATGAAGATGATACAAGAGGAGTTTCAGAATTCATATGTATGTTCTGTTTCATTGATTAATTTCTTCAACAGTTTTATTGTACAGCTTTCATTTAGATCTTGTGAGGGTGAGCTTCATAGCCTATTATCTAGAATTTACTACTAGTAATCGTTATGATGATGATAAGCTCGTGTTGCTCTTGTTTATATCTGTTTTCTTTATTTTTAACTTTTTCTTTTTATCTCGACTGACTGGTTTTGTCCTGTGTGTTTATAGATGTTTCTAAACTTTGTGCATATTACAGGATAAATCGTTGAATTAAAGCGTTTCTATGTGCACCAACCAGTCAAACTTGTATGTTGATAATCGAGCTTATCAGTGGTGTCTGCTTTTTTCCTTAAAAGAAGACGATGTCAAACGTAACACAAACGATCCAATTCATCTTTTCTACGTATCTACCTCTGTCAGCTTTATTATTATGATTGTTGCCATCTACGCAAACATCTTTTCTTGGTGTCGTTTTTCTTGCTCTCTCTCGTCCTCCTCTGTAAATCAACTTAATTTTTATAAAAAAATTATTCTGTTATTTCAACTACATATGTATGTGTGCATAATTGTCTGTTTTATATACTGTTCATTGTAATATGTTCATACTATCGTAGTTAGTGGAAACTGTTACATTCATAATTGGCCAAACGTATATCGATCATTGACTCTATTTCGTTTTCCGAGTCATTATTAAAATAATTTAACTTTTAATCGTTTTACACTTACACGTTCACTTACATTTATCTAACTATCGGTTCATGGAAACAGTATGTTTGTCACACACACACAAGTACACATACAATTGTTTATTTTATAGCTTTATCATTATTATTATTATTATGCTTTTACGGCAGATAAAATCTAATCATCCTGTTTTATTGTAGAGAAAATATCATTTCACTTGGATATTGTGTTGTGTTCATTTTTTTCGAGTATTATTATTATTATTGTATCTTCGAAATAATAAAATACCTCTTCACAACTGAATTTATATCTTGAATGCATACTATGCCGTTTACATAACAGATTAGATAATTGTTACGTTCTACTATACTAACTCCTCAGTAGTGTTCAGAAGCTACGTTTGATCCCCGATAACGTCGTGGGTACACATTGTCAAGTTGTCTCATACTGGTATGGAACAGTGATGCAGTACTTCCAGGTTTACTTATTAAGGCGAATCCCCGATATTAACCATGAAATCCGTCATTCTCTACAAAGCTCTATTCTATGAGATTTATTATTTAGAAAAAAAACTAATTGATAGTGGAAAAGTTTACATTTCTTAGATTGTTTTGGTCGATGAGATAAAAACATTTCCGCTATTCTAGCTCTCCATTTATACTGCTACATTGTCTGGTGGCTTTTTTATTGAACAGTGGTGCGACTATAATCGATGGACGAGCTTTGAGCGATACTTGAATGACCTTGAAAATATCCTCCTACCTACTTGGTTCAAACGAGGGTTCTAATTTAGGGTTAAGTATTAAACTAAAGTTTTTATCACGAACTGATATCAGCTATGCTGTTTGGCCATATGGATGAACGGATTTCACGCCAGATCCAATGACCTGTTATCTTAAACTTGATTTGTTTGTCCATAGATTGTAGCACCACCTTGTATCAGTCCACTTGTTTACATTCTATATAGATAAATTCCTAATTCAAATTATTTGTGTTACGACTACTTAATATCTTGTGCTAATATTCAGTTATGTTAATGGGTGTTTGTTCCCAAATAAAACTCGTTTCTTCGAATACACGTTTGGATTGTTAGGTAAAGGTCGAATGTAAGGTTACTAAGTAGGATACCAATCAGTTGTAATGGGATGATCTCGTGTGTGATTAGATAATAATTGTCACTTTCCGTTTGCTTGAGGCATCTTAAAAGGTAATTATTATTATTATTATTATTATTATTATTATTATTATTATTATTATTTGGACACATAAATATTGGTACAGGGGGCACCAAATATATATGCGCCACACAAAACAATGATAATTTGAAGAGAAGGAGAAAAGAGAAAAAAAAGTAATGAACGTGGGGAATTATAAAAAAAAAGGGAGAGAGAGAGAACAATGGTGGGGGAAACGGAAAGGTACAATCAGAAGAGGTCTTTCAGTTAAGGAAGATACAAACACTTTTTATGAAGAGAGTAAAAGAAGGTTACAGCAGGATCGCCACTGGCTTCTATTCTGAGCCATATCTGATAACGTCTCTAGCCACTGCGTTACACCGTCTTTCGGACCCCAACCTGGGAGTCGTGAAGGACCAACAGAAGCTAGCCCTTTGCAGCTTTCTTTCATACCACGACACCGAAGGCAGCCAGTTTGAATGGTGCACGTGGTTTCAGAAAAACTGCTTCAGTACTCATATTCGGTAGTAACATACAATTTTCAACCAGGCAGTGACTCGAGAACGTTTAGATAAAGCTGAATTTTCACCATAGGCGAGCTGCTGTCTGAGTCGAAACGGATACAAAAAGTCGAAATAGGAGATAGTGAATAAACGACGTAGTAAATAATAATAATAATACCAGTCATTTCAATGTTAGTCGGAGAGAAACGAATATTTTCTATAAGCAGATAGTTCATCATAGTTTTAGTGTGTTGGCTGAGATACTGCCCGGGTGCCCAGACCGAAGCAGGTAATAGGATTGCTAGTGATTTTGTCATCTTGGTAACATGGACACATCACTCAATGGACAACTCTTCTGGGCCAGTCACATTTGCTCTGTATTTATATCCAGTGACGGAACTCCATGCACCAAAGTAAGATGTGCCGTTCTTTCTTTACTTCTTCCGTCGCAGGAATACAGCATCGTTGCAGATCATAGTTATCTGAAGGATAAATATAAAATAGATAAGATAGTTAACGAGATGAGAAAAAATTTCAAATAATGGCAGAAATTGCAATAGAAAGAATAATTTATGTGAGCTGAACTAACAGTCAATAGTTTTTGAGCTAACCTCATTTATTGGTTTTTCAATGTCTAAACTTTCGTAAAATTGTTGGTGGCAGTCACATTGTGTTTACAACACGTACTTTAGGCGGTGAAGAATAGTGAGTTCTGGTATAAAAGGAATATTAAGTAATTTGCCGGTTGCCATGAAATAATATTCTACATATGAGATATGATTAACAAGATAATCAGTGGGTATCCGTTATATTTTAACATTCATTACTTCCTCTTATAGTGTATCGGCAGTACATGTTTATTGAGAAATATGGAAAGGGTGGTGATACAAAACCCAAAGAACTACAGTAAATAAAAAACCTTTTTTCATTCAACTGAAATTCAAAGGTGATTATATCACAGAGTCAATCAAATACGAGACTAAAAACTGCATTGATAAGAACTTTCCCTGTAGCTAAACTGATTGTCATGTCCAAAACAACATGTTCTTTAACACATTCAAACGTCGATAGGTATCTCTATCATGTTACCACCATCTGTGTATGCAAATTTACTTGTATCTTCAAAAGCAGTTACATTGGTAGGACAGAAAGGAGAGCCTACGTCCGATTCAAAGATCATATTCCGAAAAGCTTAAGGACAAATGGATTAAAAGCATTCAGCAGTGCCATCACATTGACACAGGACACCAAAGTCTTTGAAATTGATTATCAAACTCCAACCTTTTTAAATGTGCTTAAGTAATAGCGATCAATTGTCTGAAAGCAGATCTATGTATCCAAAAAGAGGTAGTCAAGTGCTTTTTTGCCTTGGTAACATTACTCCCCTTTTTATGTATTACGTCATTCATTATTTCAACTCTTTCTGAAATCTAATTACATCATTGTCATTTTTCTTTAATTCATGACTGACTGACTTCAGTTCATATCTTGCTTTATTACCATCCATCTGTTTTCAATTGCTTCATTACACAATCATCTAATGTTTGTTAACTCTGAGTTCTAATCACTAATTCAATGTTCTAGAGTGTTCCCTCCCAAACTTTATTTATCCGAAACAAACAAGTTTTTATGACCTTATTAACTCTATTGAAATCTTCGCTACGTCATGATACACATATTCATCTGTAATCACCTTCGTATGTATAATTATGTCAATATCGGCCGTCAAGTGCTCCCAAGTTCTCCATGGTGGTCTAGCTTCAATTGACTCATGATCTCAACTATTAAAATCACAACCAAATATACTTGAATACAAAATTACAGAATATCTTAGTCAAAGTCGAGAACCATACAGTAAATACTTCATTTGCAAAATGTCAATCAATTGTCTCAAACTTCATTGTTCCTCTGTTTCAACAGCAATCATTCTCTGTTCTATTTTCTTATATCTTATTAACCTTCCGCCACCATACATTTCAATTGATGATACATACTACTTATATCTGTCGACATCAGTAGCACACACCATATTATCAGTATAAATTTGTTCAGATTATTGTATAAAATCCATTCAGTCATATTATGCATTTGTTTAAAGATTTATTGTTATATGAGAATTTAATTCATTTTCTTCTGTGAGAAATATAATATTAATTTACTCTTATTTATTATTTGTAATTAAACTGGAAATAACTAAAGAATAGGTCAGTTCTAATGAATTTAAGAAGAAGAAATTTATATTCACCATTAATCATCATTAACTAATTTATATAAACTTTCGTTAAGGTTGAATTGTAGTAGGGATTGATTGATTTTATACCAGAGTGAGCTACAGTTGAGCTGACCTTGACCGTTTTCAACCAACGAATATATATTCGTCTCTAAAAACAGGTAATGCACATTAACTGTAGACGTTGATTTCTATGTAGCTTATGGGGTTTCCATGATTGATAATTAACTTTTATTATCTTAAATTGTTTTCACTACAAACATTCATTTATATAAGGTAATTTGTGCCAGGTATCTACCTCAGACAGTGGTGGATGGTCGTGCGATTTCGTGGATTAGTTGAAGATACACATTAACACCATAGGATACCCGACGAATGGTCTAGAGTTTAAGCATTCGCGCACGAGACCGAAGGTCTTCCAAATGCTGGATCATGGATACGCACTGTTGAGGAGTCCCATAATAGGACGAAACGGCCGTCCAATGCTTCTAGATCTTCAATGGTGGTGTAGCTTAAACCGATCGATGATCCCAATCGAAAAGTATATTTAATTCTTATATAGGGAAATAAATACTGAAATGAACGATTTTATAAGTTTTCACGAGAGTTGTGCACAGCATTCTTGAAATATTGACGAAACAATTTTATGAATAAATGATTTGTAAGCTAAGACTGTCGGTCTACCTAAGAAATTTGTATAAAACAAGAGTAATTATTGTTTATTCCATCAGTAATAGCATGATCTATGTGAGTTTATTTGGAATGCCCTGGTATGGCCGAGAGTGGGGAGAGTCAGCTCTCCATCTCAAAATCCTCTCAAATGGCCACATGCATTCAACCACTAACAGGAAAGTTCTACTCACTGCCTTCTCTCACCACGGGTGTTGTTTACGAAATTGAGAAGAAGAAAAGCTAATATCCGACGCTTTAACCGGGTTGGTGGATATGGAGGATCCATCCAGAGGAGTTGGAAAATCCTCATTCCAAACTAATGCTGTACATGGGCTTCAGGATCCTGAAGGAACAAATGGTGTATGAACCAAATATTGGTCACCAGCTACCATGGGACTGCATCTCCTTATGTTGCTCCACTGCCTTGTGGATTAGACTTTTAGGTCAAAGGCTCGGGGTGTGTCCCCTTAAGAAAACCACCTGTTTCTGTTTGGACACACGAACAGTACCCTAGCCCTCACACAAATCTTATGATTTATGTGGCGCCTATCTATTTGGTGTATCCTCGTACCTATGTTCATGTGTTCAAATAAATAATATTATTTAGAATAGAGGAAAAGAGGATATAATTCTTGATGAAATTATCTCGAATAGAATCTACCTACCATAGAAGGAGTAAAGATCGTTTTTTGCTGTATGATGCCAAAAATTCCACGTATTA